AGTTACTACTAATAATAATCCGGTCCTATGAGGTCACACATACGAGCATAGAATATGTGAGGAATTGCAATGTTTATTGTAAACCCCCTGATTGATTTGTTTTCTTTAGTACGCGGCTATTGCTAGATTGCTAGGCAAATAAAGCTTATGACGGGTAACTTACGCAGTACATTTTCATCTTATGTCGGGTGAGAGAGAACAGATGTTTTATATTCAACATAGGGTCTGTATATATATTCCTGAGCATTTGCACATTGTATATACTTAGAGGAATCATAATCCACCAGTTTGAAAAAGAGAGTTCATTAACACAGATCATATGTACACAGGACCGGTGAGATGACCAACTAGTATTTAATAAAATACGCATATTTCCCTGACGCATTTACAAGTCATACCAGTTACTGTGCTTTCCGCATCCGCATCATAGTGCAGATCCCACTGGTTTAAGTTCTTCTCGTGCTCTAGTTTATGTTTGCAGAATATCTTCGGCTTTGGCAAATAATGTAAAATCATATGATTGCGCATCATATTATATCTCTCCATATCACGTAACTTCCTTCTACACTGGACTATCCCCACGGATCCGATGTTGTTGATAGTCTTCTTTAAAAGCTTAACACCACGTTCTTCTTCTCCGGTGTATATGTATATCAGGGTTAGTACATATGATGTCGTCGGATTGTGCAACTCATTAGCTCTTGACAACATCGTCAATCCTTCGTCCAACACCATGGTGTTGAAGTATTGTCGCTACATTAAAGAGAAATAATAAAACACTGACTATAAGTCTGCAACATAAATTCTAACAATAACAATTCGAAAACTACCACTGGTGTTGTGGTGATACATATTAGTTAGAAAAATGATGATAAAATTATACCACTTTATTGTTGGTGGTACATTTGATTAATAAAACTGCCACTTTGGAAAACAAAACCGTTTCACATAGTGAGTATCAGATATTTACTGATAAACTTCCCAATAATTGAGAAAGGAGACGTACAAATCCAAACTCAAGAAGAGCTTCAGGATGTTCATTCTCCATGCACTGGACGAAGAACTTCTCCGCTGCTTCTTGGTGTGGCGTCAACTGTCGTGCTTTAACCCAGGGGAGGTGAATTTGTTGAATGACCCCCTTTTCTTTGGATATCCGTCGCAGGGTTTTACAACTGTAATCAAGTGATACGGCAGAAATTAGATTATTACATTCGCTGTGTATATGATGAGAACAGAGTACACGGTGCAATTACAAACCTACCTTAATTTGCACCGAAATAGATTAGAATGGTCGCCAACACTTCTGGCGGAAGGATGTCAACCATAGAGGTTGTAGCGGTATTCGCTTGTACATCCATTTTTTTTTTTTTGAGATAGGCAGATCCGAGATCGCTTTGTTCATATAGACGGGAGTGAATTTTTATCCGAACACTGTTTGACATAAAAAAGTAGATTTATCAGTGACGGTTCACCTTCATGCCTGGTATTGGATGTAGCGGACTTGGGAGTTGTGATGATGATGGTTGAAAATGTAAACAGTGGGGGAGATTTATAATGTCAGTCTTTGGGCATTAAAAGGTAAAATTTTTTTCCATGGATTTACCAATAATCAATAACTATATACTACGGAGTAAAAGACACACCAGCAATGTCATGTGTCGATTCTGGTGTGTTCTTAGTACTCACTCCGTCCCCGAAACTTCGACCCTTATGGCCTAATTTTAGTCCCAAAATGTTCATCCCATTTGTACTTTAATACCCTTTAATTTGCAATAATATTTGTGCAAAATTAGCTTTCCCATGCAAATTTTGCTTTTTCTATGTAGTACTTTTATTACTTTCTCTCTCTAATTTTTTGCAATTCCAATGTAAATTTCCCTTTTCAATGTACTTTTCTTAGTTTCCCAAACACTCTTACACTTCCGATTTAACTTCTTAATACCCGCGAAATCAACCTAAAAGGGTCGAAGCTTCGGGGACGGAGGAAGTATATTTTTTTAATAATTAATTACTAAATTTTATTTAATGAAATTATTTTTAAAAATAGAAGTTTGATTTTGTCAACTGTATAGATGAGCAATAATAATTACCATTTTTATGTTGACACTCAATATTACATGTTACTTCAGTTTTGTTCAACATATTAAACAATTTTTATATTTTATGCTATAAATAAATTAATTTGTCATAAGTATATAAAATAACGTACCGTTGGTGGCACGGGACCTAACCTAGTTGTTATGTATAGTTATACATTATTGATTGATAAGTATTATAATCATAAATTAGTCCAGAAATAAGTGTGTGATAGGTTGATTTGGTATTTGCATTTTTAAATTGTAGCATCTAATACAGAAATGAAACAAAAATTTGGCGAGAAATTCTAAGCATTCTTTTTTGTGTCTTTTTTAAACCAGGTCACAGGTCATTTTAAGAATGTAAGATTATTTTAAAAAACCTGACCATTTTTGTGACATAAAATATGTACAAAACATAATATTACTTTGGTACATGATTTGTTACCTTAACTAATAGTTTTTTTAAAGGAAAAAAGTCACAATAACACGGCAGAGATTACACGTGTCGTTGCTTGTGTGTCTTTTAGTATACAGTTACTGATACAAATTCGTTTTGTGCTCCAAGCATTAACCCAAAGAAATCAAATAATTCTGGTCATACATTCGAGTAACTAAAAGTATTAGAATTAGTTAACTATATTTCTTGTCACCCGAAATGTCCATCAAAATCGTTTTTTCTAAACTCTGATCATATGGCAATGAACAGGTACAAAAAGAAAGGATTGTTAATAACCAGGGTGGAAAATTGCCACCGTCGTAGGATAACGTTTACATCACCCACCCACCCAACTTACTAGTAAATAATTTCTAGTGAAATTACTAATTCATAAGTAGTACACTAAAAACTTAATGATTTGTAATTTAGGACTTTGGATATTTACGATCACCGTAGAGCATTGTTAAAAACCTTCGACGACAATGAGCGGGTTCATTCAACACCTACATGTACCAACAGTATAGTTTTCTAAGTGACTACATCTTAGTCATTCAATTTTGACTAATAATCGAAGAAGGTTGTTAAACTTTTTTGCCAATCAATCGTGTCAAGATTGCGGTACGCCTTGTTATGTCATCCAGGGTACCACTAAGACAACAGCTGTACCCTCATAATTAAAATACAATTGATAATCCTGAATGAACAATTGTAAAAGAAAGTAAATTACAAACAACCAGGGTGGTACAAATACTAGAGTCGTAGGAGAACGTTTACATCACCTAACTAGTGTGGAACAAGTACTAGGGTGGTACAGATATGCGTCGCACACGACCGGTGAGTCGGCTTTGCAGTAGAAAATAAAATACGCTTATCTCCCTAAGGCATTTACAAGTCATACAGGTTATTGTACTTTCCGAATACTCGTCATAAAGGCGATCCCATGGGTTTAAGTTCTTCTCGTGCTGTAATTTTTGTTTGCAGAATATGTTCGGCTTTGGATCATAATGTAAAATCATATGATTGCGCATCCAATTGTCACTCGCCAACTCACATAACCTATGTCTGCACTGGACTATCCCTGCAGATCCGATGCGGTTGATAGTCTTCTCCAAAAGGCTTACACCACTTTCTTCTTGTCCAGTGTATATGTATATGAGGCTTAGTACATAGTCTGCCATCGAATTGTGCAACTCTGTTGCTCTTACCAACGTCGTAAGTCCATCGTCGACCGCCATGTAGTTGAAGAATTGTCGCTACAGTAAAGAGACATGGTAAAACAGTTACAAGAAGTCTACAAACATAAACATAAATTCTGACGAAAAAAATTCCCAATAATAAAAAAAAGAAGACGTACAAATCCATACTCAATCAGAGCTTCGGGATGTTCATTATGCACGCACTTTTTCCAGAACATATTCGCCTTATTTCGGCTTATACCTGACATCCGTGCTTTAACCCAGGGGAGGTGAATTTGTTGAACGACCCCCTTTTCTTCGGCTATCAGTCGCAGGGTTTTACAACTTTTATCAAGTTATACGGCAGAAATTAGATTACTACAGTCTATGCATGTGTATAGGATGAGAAACAGAGAACATAACAGAGTACATTTTCCAAGTATAAGCGTACCTTAATTTGCTCCGAAATAAATCAGCATGAGATGACCTAGCAACGCAACTTAGAATGTTCGCCAACACATCTTGCGGCAGGATGTCAACAATAGAAGGTGAGTATTTTCTTTTCGCTTCTACATCCATTTTTAATTTTTTATAGAGGGAGATCGCTATGTTCGAATAGAAGGAAGTTAAGTTTTTTGCAAAAACTGTTTGACATATAAATAGACTTCCACGAGACGGTTTTCCTTCATGCATGGGGTCGGATGTAGTGGGTTGGGAGTTTTGATGATGATGGCGATTCATTGAATTACCGGGGGATATTCAAATATCCCGCGATATTATTTTTGGGAAACTGCCAATCAGAAGTTACCCATGCACATAATAATTAATGGTACAATTATTAACCGATAAACGTACCAGTAATCCAAGATTTGTAGATGGACAGGGTAGGTTATTAATATATCTAACACATCATTCAAACACAATAATTTTTCCTATGGCAAAAGGAAAAATTCAATGACAAGATCGCAAATACTGAAAAAGGGGAAATATTTAGCTCGAACCATTAACATAAAGAATCAAATGATTCTGATGATACATTACACTGATTAAACTTATTACAATTATTTTACTATATTTCAATTAGAGTTATTAAACTAAATACATCAGATTGTTACATTTTTTGTACATAAAATGTTTGCATCATAATAATTAATGGTACATGTTTGCCATTTCTCACTTACGCATGCATATAATAATTAATGGTACATGTTTACGTTTTTCAATGTACCACTAAGATATGCTTAATCCTTGTGCGAAATTCTGTTTGTATTGTAAGAGTAGAATTTGCAATGTTATGTAACTGTGGGAGAACTGAATAATGTCCTAATTGGGACACATAAACCTTTTTTGACTATTCACCTTGTAGCAGAATTCAATTAGCGAATTTTTTTTTTTCCTGGCCGAATAATAAATATTTTTTTCTAGAGGTTTCTAAGACGGTTTTGAAGGGGAATGAACAAGTGTTTTTACGGAATTAATCGTTCTAATTCTCGAGGGTTGGTAATTATGGCGTTTCATTTTACAATTTTAACTACCCTATTTTCTCGTTGGTTTTAACCTTTTTACTGTTTTGTTTGTGGTAGTCATGTGTAATAGTCCCCGGAAGTGCTTAACTGTTGTTTGCAACACATTGTGCTAATTCATACAACAAATGTCATAATTAAAAACTAATTAGAACAATCGTTGTTCAAGTTCAAAGAGGTAGGATGAGAATGAAAATTGCAATTAAACATTACATCGGGAATCATAATCAAAATCATAATTAAACATACGACTAGGATCACTAGGGTTGTTACCAAAGGGGATTCAGTTGATTTTGGTTCCACTGACACATGACATTAGGCTTCCTCATGCCCTATTTGTTTGTGAAGCAAAATACTTCGTCGCCATTCCTCATGGCCGCACCCCGAACATCCATAACTGGCGTGACCTTTTTGTTCTCGTGAAACATAAAAATTTTGCTAGGACTAACACGCACCACGTCACTCCAAGCTCGAAACAGTCCGTCCAGAGACTCATCCAACATGACTAGTACTTTCTTCTTCACCGAACGTGTTCGCGGCTCTCGGAGATAGACTAGCTTCTTACGAATATCCATGTTGGCCTCGGGTACCTACGTGTAAACAAAATTAAGAAACGCAATATAAATAAGTTTGAACCACATACTTATACCATTATTATACAAATTTATCGAACCACAACTCAACAACATCAATCACTATAATTATACAATACCTAACTGTAATTTTATGAATTACCACGAACAACTTAGCCGACATAACAGATTATGTAATAAGGAAATGAACACATATTAACATCAGTTGAATATAATGACATTAAATGTTAACTTTGAAATACACTAGGGTGCAAAAATAGCTGGACCTGCCATCAATACCCCCATCACCTCCCTAATTAATAGCCTAAGTAAGAGCCTAATAAACCAACCAATATATAATTAATATTATGAGTAATTAGTTTAACATGTGAGAATCGCTTTTGCTTCTTGCAGTGGTAGTTTCGTAATTAGAATGTACCACTTTGATAATGTAATGCTGGTACATTTTAACCTGTTAAATGGATGTTAAAAGTAAATCATTGTAGTCAAGGTGGCACAAATTATTTAGAACAGAGCTAGTCCCAACTACAGTAAATCGCTACAGTTTTGCCACATTAACAGTAACTTCAATTAAACCACAATAAAAATCAGTAAATCTCTGTTACTCACTGTGGGAAACGTTTTTGTTTCTCACAGTGGTGGGTTCGTAAATAAAATGTACCGCCGTGACTAAAATGGTACAATTTTATCATCCATTTCGTAAATAAAATGTACCATCTTCACTAAGTGGTACATTTTATTTACGAAATAGCCACTGTGAGAAACAAAAACGTTTCTCACAGTGAGTAATAAAATTACACACTAACCACACTTTAACGAAATTCTACATTTTAAGAACATGGCATTCAATTTTATCTTCATTTTACGAAAGGAAAAGGAACCGAACCTGGCTCCAAACCCACAGGACAACCCCGTTCACAATCCTGGCCAACATTGGATTGTTATGCCAGGGAACCTCGCCATGAGCATTCCTGATAGTAATGTCTTTCGGGTGAGAGTCTACCCTCCTAGCGTAGTCATAGTAAATTATCTTGAATGATTCATTGATCGTGAGTTCATACTCAAGGCCGGGGTCGTCGTCATTTAGGCTCCGAACCCTAAACGAGATCTTTGGATAGAAGTTGCCGGGATTTGGAGGGGCAACCCTTGCTTGCTTAGCTACAGCCCCTCGGTTGGCAGCAGGCTGTACGGGCACTGGCTTAGAAGTGGCAGGTGCCATGTCAACCATAGCATTAACAACGTCATCTTCTATCTGAACGGGGTCGTCTCCTGGTATGTTAATCACTTGCTGAGGAGCAACACCTCTAGAGGCGTTCATTGTGTAGGTCCGGTGTATATCCTCAGAAACAATATGGGGTACTTTAGCAGCACGTCCTGCTTGTGTCGTTAGGTCAAGTACAGGATCTTCGATGATCAAAACAACAAATCGTCGAGACTGCCACACTCCACGGCCGGCTTTTCGCCCGCCGACCCTCACGCCACTAGCTACGACCTTCTCCAACGTGCTGTGACGGCCTGACATAGCCTTCCTTTTCCTAAGCGGTGGACAGGATTTGGAATGGACCGGACCCCGGTAAGGGTTCAGGTTTGAAGGGATGTAGGAACTCATATTGGTTGAATAACTGTGTATTGGTGGTAGCGGGTTCCAAGTTCTTTGCCAATTCTGTTTCGCTCGTTTCACTTACACTGATAGGAATAGGAATAGAGAATAGAGTGAGAATATAGTCCTTGTGTATAATTACTAGTAGATCAGGTCCCGCATGCACGGTAACTTTCAATAAATACTCTAGAATTATTAACATTATATTTAATTAAAAAAAAAAACTATTTTAGTTACTACTTTGTAAAATGAATTAATTATGAAAGAGTCTATTATTAGCAAAATATATAATTTAAAATACACATATATGTATATTTATATATATTCACTAACTATTTTATATCATTTCTTCTTTTAACCAAAATGAATATCTTACAACTATGTATACGTATCTAATTCGTAAATAGATTTACTTTTTACACACTATTAATCCATTAATTCCCTCTTACGCAATACTTATTTTTCTTCTCAATAATCAACTGGCTTACAAAAATTCATATCTTTCCTAACAAGCTTTTCTAACATAATTACATACACAAGTATTTTACAAAAAAGTAATCCTTGTTGTAAAACTGTAAGAGTAGTATATAGCACTATGTATGTCACAAATTATGTTAAGAATTTGATTTTTATTTTATTAACTGTAACTTATGGTATCAATGTGTATAGTGCTAGGATACATTTAATCTTCTTAATCTTATATGTATACATAAGATTTGTTTTCTAAATCTTTTTTTGTTATTTTTAAACTATTGTATTACCCAAACGCTAACCATTGGGTGAAAAGAATGTGTTTCCGAATGAGAAATATGGTGAAAAAGGATTCCCAAATAATGGTACATGTGCAACCATTACGTGAATCTAAATAACGAAGGCGTAATAGTGGGACAATCAAAAACACATTCAACCCCATCGTACTGAATGTTATGTTCCACTAATAAACGAACAACCTGAAAATCAAATCCTCTAAAACCCTAAAAACTGTCCTTTTCTATTTGATCGTATTTTTTCAGTCTTTGCTCCTTTGGATGATTATATTGTGCAAGTTGTTCGACGTACGATATTAGATAATTGTTGATTCGTTCATAGTTGAACTAAGCGCTCCCTTGTTAGTGAAATAGTTACTTTTCCTCCTCGTCATATACCGTCGTTAGATTTATCAAGTCTATTAGATCGGAATATACTTTTCATTTTCTCACAGTTCACTAGTGTGGTTCACTTTCTTTGACTAAAGGATCCATATTGGTAGAAAATTTGGTTGTAAAAAATGATATTTATAAGGCGCACTAAGGCCAGGCAACGATTTAAGCATCATTTGTTATTTAATATCTTGAGGAGCATTGTACCTTTTGTACTAATCCAATGAATTGCTCCAATAATATGGTCTTAACTTCAATTGTACGTGTACAATATATTATCCGACTCAAATTACCATCGTGTTCTAGTGACAGATATTTGTAAACCTCATGAACGCAACGGAAGTCTTATAACCCTGAATATATATTCAAGGTTGGTTAATTGGTGACTGACTTCTTAGCTCTGCAGGAACGATTTACGCATGCGTGTATGAGATATTTGAACCTATGGCTGTGGTACAAGGACATCCATGGTATTTCACCATGGATACGACAATGCAATGACAACTGCATATTCTGGACAATGACTTAATTTATTTGTTGATAATGACAATACAAGGAGATAGTGTCGGAAATATCGGAGAAGAAGTCAGTCTTCTGCCAAAGCAATTTCCTCCGCCAAAATATTTCCCCTGCCAAAGAAATTCAGCTTCCAATGAAGTGACATAAATGAAAGAATACAGTTGTCCTCTAATCATACTTTACACAGTGAAGACAGAGAAAGAAATTGGATATAAGTGACGAAGGTGACGGCTATGAGGTGCAAAAGGTTTGATTTTGACAATTGCTTGGGTTGATTAATAAGTAGTCCAATAGAAATGCATGCATAGCAATAAAGAGAGAGAAGATTTGATTTTGACAATTAATTAATAAGTAATCCGCAAGAAAGATGAAAACTAATGTCTGCTGACAATGATAATTGCATTACATTACAGTTGACAAGACAACTCAGTGACAAAATTCGGAGAATATGGCCAGTGGTAACAGTTGCAGTGCAGTGTTGCAGGACGAAAGTTGACAACAAGCAGAGAACCGTCGTAAAATTGTCTTAGATTATCGTGACTTGTATGGGCCCTATGAACTTCTGCGGGCCGTCTGAAGTACTCTGTATTAATTTATTACCAAACAGTATTTGAAGTACAACATGAACCCTTTATACACGGAAAAGAAATCTAGTGTAATGAATGATTATTTTCACAAACATACAACAGAAATGACCTGGCATGTTGTTTCTCACAGTGAGTTGCATAACTGCATTAACAAGGCGAGTTTTTGAACCTCCCTGATTTTGGTGGAACTTTTAGGTAACGACGGTTGTACCACCGTTAATCTAGTGGATAAAAAAAGTTGAATTAAAATATGGTGGAACTGTAAGGTAACGACGGTCGTACCACCGTTTCTCTAGTGGATAAAAGAAGTTGATTTAAAATACAGATTTTTGATTGTGAGATGCATTTATGTATCTCACTGCGAGGCACTGGGGCCTCTTAGAATACGACAACTATTGGTACAAATCTTGATTGTGAGATACATTTATGTATCTCACTGCGAGGCACTGGGGGCTCTTAGAATACGACAACTATTGGTACAAATCTAAGTTAGTCATGAAAAATTTGTTGGAAAACATAATAATTTGTAGTGTTAATTTTGGTATCAATGCTAAATTGCTAAGAGATTGAAGGACATTACTATCCGGACATTATAATTCTCAAAGGCGTTGCATTAGTTTCAAAGGTGGAATAAAGTGATTCAATTATCATAGTTAAGGGTTTGAGATGTACTTCAAGCCTCAACATTGCAACATGGACAGAATAAAATTTTAGCCAAACAGAATTCAGGGGCAAAGTCAATCAAAACAGATACAAGGCTACTCAACTACAGTACAAGTTCAACAAAGACACAGAGCATTATGGAGGGTTGGATCCCCGGTTCTTCATAGGTCTTTCCCCAATCCTAGGTGGTGATGGAGCCGTCGAAAGCCAAGCCAGAATTGAAGTAGTAGCTACCTGGCTCTGCCTCCTCGTCCGAGCTTAACGGGTCATTGTTAAAATAAACTGGTTTTGGAGGCCACGATGGTCATGGTGGTGAAGGTGGTGGAGCCTGTAATCGTAAACAACAATAATTTGCCTAATTAATTTAACTCCCACTAACGTAAAATTCAACACAAAATTATAAATCTGACAAATCACCTAGAAAAAAAGCATCAACAGCCACCCCAATTGGCTCACTCGATATGTGGAAGAAATTGGCCCTTAACATATGTTGTTGCCAACACATAATAACTCCACCAGAACATGACTGTGGACCACATATCTGTGCTACATAATCACCAGGTAGGCTACGAACAACGAGGTCGCTCGCCTCATGTTTTCCAACACGAGCTTCCTAAATGATGAACAACATCGGGTTAAATTTATTGTGCAGGGCTGCGAAATGTTCCGTGAAGGAGGGCCTTGTGCACCCTCGGGCGTTCCAAATTAGAATGTTCGACCCCCGAGCGAGTACGCCAAACTGTTTGGTGGCTGACGAAAGATGCTCTCCTTTATAGGTAACACGGTTGTACCGTTTACGAATGGGCCACCGATGATTAACACTGGGTTTAAAGGTACAACCTTCAACCTGGAAACTCAAGTTGGTGTTACTAGTATCGACCGTCATCAAGTGGAGGGTATCCGTGAAAGACCCAACAAATATTGTGCGCCTCGTCGTGGGGAAACTGTAAGCAACTATGGAGTCGGTACTAAGACTGGGCTTCAAGTCAACAGCTTCCTCTATTTCAGGTGGTACTATGAGTGGGGACGCCGAGGAATAGAACCTGTCTATGAGCCAGTACAGCAGGACACAAGCTCCCTCGTCGTAGCAGCCCACCAAGTCCTCTAAAAGAGGAAGGTGCCCCGACGTCGCCCTCCCATCTTGTAACATCATGCCTTCAGTTTGGCAGCACATTGACTGGAGGAGATGTGCTCTAATGGACTGCACAGGCTGGTATATCCCATTGTAAAAGGTGTAGCGGTTTCTAAAATACTTAACTAAATTCAGGTTTAATTCGGATTCCCCCTTCTCTGTTTTTTGAAAATACAATATCAGTTGTTCCGGGTGGGGTAAGGGTTGGTGAGGTGATACACAATATTGCACACCGGAAGTTCCGGCCATTATTGTTGCTTGTAATGATAAATGGGAGGCAAGGGATGCAGAAATACGGTAGGAAGTGAATTTATTTTTGGTGAAAATGTTTCAAATTCTTTTAAGCTGATGCGTCAATTGCATTGTGTATTTTCTTGTCGAAAACAGCACAGCGTCTAGGACATTGTGCCCAGGTACATTTTACTACTGTGGAACCATAAGCCATATAGGACAGAAGTAAATGTACCACTCTACTGTACGTATTGTTTAAGCTTCAACCTTCAGTTACGGTAGCGACTTTTGGAATGGACACCCTTAAACAGGGTGTGCTTAACAAAACGTTGAGGGATTATGAATGGGTTAGATTACGAAGGATAATAGGGAACGAGTTCAACTATAGTAATTATTGAGTACTAAGTTGCCAACGTCCTCCTGAATATCATCCATTTCCTTTTACAGTGGTTCTTTTGTAAGGGGATTAGTACCACCCATATAAAAGTGGTACCCTGTGTATCCTAGTGGTACCCTGGATCAGATGATGTAGCAAAATGATTTATGAATAAACTTTAACTTGATTTCCAGTAACACAAAACCAATCAATTTATAGTACAATGAATAAGATGTACTATCCTCTCTAAATGTCTATAAAACCTAGATAAAGTAGGAAAAGACAATTCCTAATATTATCCAAAATCCATATACCCTAAATATTATGTAATCACCCTAAATTTATCTTAACAGATGACAAGGTAGACTATGAACTTGACACGTTGTATGGGTACTGTCGCATAACAATCCAAAACGACCTTCTCATGT